TTCAAACATATATTTTATTCAAAAATAAAAACATCATCGCTTTCTCAAAATCACATAAAACCATATTATAACATCGATTGAGATAAAAAATAAAATGAAATATTAAAATCACGATGCATCTCGCTGCATTGCGCGAGTACACTTCTAATATATATATATATATATATATATATATATATATACACACACACACACACACATAGGGTTGGGTTCCGATGAGAAGGAAAACTATTGTGAGAAGCGTAAGAAGATATCTCTACTAATGGATCAATCATAATTGAATGTCAACACTAATGAGCTGTACCAAAATGCACCAGATCAATTCATTTTTAAAGTGCAATTCATAGATGAGCATGAGATTAAAAATGATCAAATGTTCAAATTTATTCTTACGCTTCTTACCATAATTTCTCTTCTCACATGATCCTTTATCTATACATACACACACACACACACACACACACATATATACATACACATGCACATATGTAGGGGTTGTTCGTTTGTTAATGCAAGATCAGAAAGAAAATGCTGAGACACAAGAAGCTTGGAGAAGATGTCCCTAGGTATATCAACTTCAGCAACTTAGATTAGGCGTCCTTTCTATCTTGTAATCTTATTTTCTTTTCTTTACTTTCAGTGTATTACCTTTATGTATTAGGTCTACCAATATTGATAAATGACTTGTGACATTTTCCCTTGTCTAATATTCAATAAAAGTACCAGTTAACTGAAAAAAGATCCCTAAAAAGAGTAAAAATGACAAGTATTTATGAGTTCCAATTCTTTTACATTCACTGGCACATTTCTAGTCAGTGAACATGCTTTCAGTTATCATTATTATGTTAGTTTATTCATGAACTTGTAATCCTTTTACAACTTTAAGTAAATTTACACAAGTAAACTGCATCGCTGAAAAAGATCCCAAAACAGTTAAAAATGACAAGTATTTTACTAGTACATTTTCCTTACTGATGTAATTTAAACAATTTTCTTTATGTTGTTTTGTCATCATCAAATAGGGGGAGATTGTTGACCCCCTCTCTCAATGATTTGATGATGATCCATTTTATCTATCGAAGTGTATTATCTCCGTATTTAGTTTCAGCGCTCATCACTGAGTATGCTCAGTGATCGCTGAACATGTATTGTAATCCATTCAGAGACTGATATACTTTAAGAAGATAAAACTCACACCACATATCTTTCAGCGATGTCGAAGACATAAGCTGAAGATTAGAGATCAACAAGTTCATGACCTGAAGCGATTTTCAGTGATAACAAGCTCGTCTACATAAGTGTGAAGTCTACGCAAGATTCAGCAAACACTGATGAGACCTTCAACATCATTCCAGTATTCAGCAATTAAATGAATATTGTCGAGCAAGATTAGTTTTTGTCATGTCCTTCAGCACACAAATGACAAACCTATACCTTTCTAAGTATAGTACAGTATGGAGCCACTCCTTTGACTCTAAATGTGCTTACCTACTTTATGAAAGATGATTGTTCATATACAACCAAAAGGACTGTATACTGTAACAAAGAACAAGTTTTCCTCTAAAAGCTTGCCACATGTCCTGTATCTTCTGAATTGCATTCAATGCAATGGGTGTAAATAGCTGAGTAGTTCTTTTCTCAGTAATCATCTTCCTCACTCTAAACTTACCCAAGAAGTCACTTCTCTCTCTACTATCTGTCTAAGAAAAATACTCACTTTAACGAGTGAATAGCACATTTCTTCTTACCTTATTTCTTTTAGCAAGTCTTTTCTTATTCTTATTGCTATTTGTAATTTTGTGTGTATCTTAGATTTTTTAAATAGGTTATCTATCCTATCTTTTTTCGCAAATAATCTATAAAATTTGTATCGATCCTCTTTATCAATATATAATTTTTAAAAGTAAAAGTTATTGTGTTTGTATTCACCCTCTTTTACAAACTGTTATCCCACCCCTTTCAACATGACTCCCCCACCCCCTTCACCATACATATTTGAAATGGAAGAATGCTTTTTTGTATACAAATTTGAAATCAATTTAGTTCCAGAAACATGAAGGGAAGAGACAAGAAGGATTTTTGGAAGACCAAAAACCCACCTGCCACAACCTACAAAACCATTTTGGGTCAAAGTGTGTCGTGTGAATCATAGTCCCAAATCAATTTTTGAAGGAAAAACCTAAATTTCTTATTTTTTTTGATTTTTGGAAAGATGAATCACAATCCTAGTCAACGCCCCCTAAAACAATCATTTTTTGTTGTTCATACACAACAAATATTGTGTTTGAATCCATCTTATGTGAACCTTTGATATTATCGATTGCATTATAGAATGCCTTGCATTGGACGTGGGCTAAGGCAAAGCATATAAAGTGTGGGCTACCATTGCTGGTCAAGCTGGTCACTGTGCATGGAGAAGAAATTATTTAAGGGTGCGAGTTGCACGTTGTGTGTGGAGTTGGGGACGGGGGTCATGGGGAAGAATGCGGGTAGTGAAACCGAAGAACAAATCAACATCAGAAGAGATCGGAGATTTATGACAAACTTGTAATGATGATGGTGGTCAGGAGAGTGGATGATGATGTGAAAGGAATGGGGGAGGGGAGACGAGAGAGATGGTGGAGTTCGTAGGTGGGTCTAGTCTGTAAGGTGAGGGTGAGTCTGAAAGACAAAAAAAATAAAACAAAAAGTAAAGAGACAAAAATACCCTTAATTTAGCGGGGGTTAATCAGAGGGACCAAATCCCAAACAAAGTGTCAACCACAATGACCAAAAAATATATTTAGTTCAACCACAAGGGTGGTGCCTGATTGGTTTGAGCTTGACTCCAAAGGTCAAAAGTAACAGGAGGTTCCAAGTTCAAATCCAAGGAGGAATAAAAATCCTTTTTTGGCCACGGAGGTTCAAATGCGGTCACTTCGGGGTATCTGCAAAGCAAGTGGTCGTTTTGAGATTAGTCAGCTCATATAGCAGGTTGAATATCCAGATTAATAAAAAAAGTAAATATATAATTAGTTCAAAATAGGAATGAGGGTTGATAGGTCCTAACTTAGCCCAGCCCAAAATCTATTACAGCTCTATTCAGCGGCCCAGTTGACAAACCCTAGCATTTCATGTATAAACCTCTTCATCTCCTCCGCTAGGGTTTCGTATCTTTAATCTATCCTTCTCTCTGATAACCAAATAGCAACCATGGCTGAAAGGGGCGGAGAACGTGGCGGCTTTGGCAGGGGTTTCGGTGGCCGAGGAGGCCGTGGCGGGGACCGTGGTAGAGGCCGTCGTCGTGGAGGTCGCCGTGACGCCGATGAAGAGAAATGGGTGCCAGTAACCAAGCTCGGCCGTCTCGTGAAGGACGGTAAGATTACCAAGCTCGAAGAAGTCTACCTCCACTCTCTCCCCATCAAGGAGCACCAGATCATCGATCAAATCCTTCCGTCACTCAAAGATGAGGTCATGAAGATCATGCCGGTTCAGAAACAGACTCGTGCCGGACAACGAACCAGGTTTAAGGCATTTGTGGTTGTTGGAGATGGGAATGGACACGTAGGGTTGGGGGTTAAGTGTTCAAAGGAAGTTGCTACGGCTATTAGGGGAGCAATTATATTGGCTAAGCTGTCAGTGATTCCTGTGAGGAGAGGGTATTGGGGGAATAAGATTGGGAAGCCTCATACCGTGCCATGTAAGGTTACCGGTAAATGTGGTTCGGTAACTGTTAGACTGGTTCCTGCTCCTCGTGGTGCTGGGATTGTGGCTGCTAGGGTTCCAAAGAAGGTGCTTCAATTCGCAGGTATCGATGATGTGTTTACCTCTTCTCGTGGATCCACCAAGACCCTCGGAAATTTCGTCAAGGTCTATTTACTATTCCTTTCTTTTATGAATTGATTTTTTCAAGTGCTTGTTCCAATTGTATGTGACTATCTAGTTCTTGATGGTAAATAATTTAGTTATAAATCCAATGGTTAAGATTGCTTTTGGGGAAATCTTTGAACTTGCTACTGAAATTTTTGCTGCTTGTTGATAATTACTTCATCTACTTGGAGTTGAGGTGTTGTTAGTTTATAATTCATCCCTATAAACTCTTGTTTAGGTGCCCTAAAAGTATACATTGTTTTCATGATAATCTTTTTGGCTCATTTCTTGATGTTGAGGTCATCAAGATCCTTTCTTGGATATTTTTTATTGGCTGAATGAATGAATTTTCACTTGATAGCCTGGATGTTATGATCCTGGGACCTTGTGCCTCTTTTCAAGTTGAAATTCTATAGTTCTTAGTTCATATGGCTTTATTATTAAATCAATGTTGTTTATCGGAAGGTTTTTTGATCTATACATTGTTCTTTATGCTACTTTTGTTATGAGCCTTGTGGATATTTTTGATGTTTTTAAATCGAATTTATCCCAATTTACCAGCTTAGCTTTGTTTGATTGGAATTTCTGGGGTTTTCTTGTTTACCTCTTAATAGTTCTATTAAGAGGCAGCCTCTGAATCATTAAGAGCTGATTCTTGTTTGGCAAAAAAAGCATGCCTCTTAATTGTTCTAAAATCCTCTTAATGATTTTACATCCTAGACCTCCCTTAACCATTCAGCTCCCTAATTTCATTATAAATAATTATCAAACAATTATATTTCATTTTGCACTATATCATGAAAGCCTTTTAATCATTCTAATCACTTAATCATTTTGCACCAATTCATTCAGCAACTACCGTACAACCCCTAAGTTGTGGTGATGATTTACTATATTCTATCTATGAACATATATTAGATATCTGTATATGCATTTGTATCGAACTATTATGGCTGTTATCTTTGCAAGTACTCTGTTGGGAATCACTTGTTGCATAATGGTAAGTTCGTACTTGTTTATACTGCTTTATTTGCATTTTTCCCTTTTAGTTTTTTCTTTTGACAAGTTACTAGATTCCATCTGGGGGTTTAAGATGTTATAATAGCTTGTGCATATAGTTTCATTGTCAGATCCTGGTTTCAACTTTTCTATTTTTTCATCTGCTTAAGATTTGTGTCTTTTAAAAGTCCCATCTTTGTTAACTTGTGGGCAATATGTCTTGTTATGACAGCTTGAAATTGTTCCTTACAAATTTGTACAAGATTTTAAGATTTTTGTTGATATTCATGTGACAATTGATGTTCAAGTTTTTGTATTTTAAGGTTTGGAGTTAAGAATGATTTCTGTGGTAAGCATTCATTGTTACAAGAATTCTACTTTGTTCTATTTCAGGCAACTTTTGACTGTTTGCTCAAGACTTACGGATTTCTGACTCCTGATTTCTGGAGAGAGACAAGGTTCTCAAGATCCCCATTCCAAGAGTACACTGATATGCTGGCAAAACCAACTACAAAGGCAATAACCTATGTTGAAGATGTTGCTGATATTCCTGCTTAAAAAATGGTCAGAATTTTGGAGAGTATGTTCTGTTTTTAGGATGTTTTGATACAGATTACTGGTTTAATGTTCTGTTATTTTTATAATTTTTTGTTTTTGAGTATTACTCTGTTTGGTTTTTTGGCAATGCAATTACTATTTATGGGAATTCTACCATGGCAATGCAATTACTATTTATCGAGATGCAACCTTTCTTCTCCAAACATACAATGACGATACTCCCCCTCTCCCTTCCCACCTTCCATCTTCATCCCAGGCGTCACATATCCCATCTATTTTCTCCGCTTCCCCCATCCTACCACCCCTTCTCTCTCACAGTGAAATCCGGACAACTGAATTGATCAGACCGAAAGATGGGAAGATGATGGCTAGAAACCAGATTGGTATCACAACTACCAACCTAGCCAAAAGTGTAAGTATTTGTGGCTCTGATGAAGTACAAAACCGTCTTCAAAGGACCCAAATGAAGCACTTTCAATTGTACATCACACACATTGGTTTAGATGACAATCGAGTCTGATAAATTTGTGTAGTCCACACTGTTTATCTTTTTGAGTCCAAATTGAAGCATTTGTTGCTTTATCGTTTCTACACTGCATAAATTTACAAAATATTTGTTATTTTGTCATAACATTCATAGATATGAATTTTCAAGTTGTCAATGATTGAATGGAAGTCTTGTGAGATGAACATAAAAAAAGCTCATATATGAATATATTCGTTGTACTGAATATATCTGTTATATATACAACCAATCTTTGTAAAAGATTGAAAACAGGTTCATAAGTTGAATCTGGTCCTTTCCCTCACCTTCATAATTTGAAAAAAATATATATAAGCGAATTTGAAAAAATCTGTTTATCTTTCTATGAATTGATGACGTACTTTCAAGTTCATTCATTTCTGTATATGATGACAATGATCCTCATTTTTATCATAAGGGGAGTTAATTTTGAGAACGAATGAAGATTTTTACGTCATTTCTGAAGATCGGGGAAACTTTTCAAGTTTGAAAGGAGTCGATAGATAATTGCTGATAATCGGTGAAGATTATTGTGCCTAAATGTTCAAAGGGGAGTGAATGTGAAGATATTTTTTGTAAAAAATTTGCTGTTCTTTAAAGGGGGAGATTATTCAAATGTTGAAAAATATTCCTCATCAAAGGGGGAAATTGTTTGAAGATTATTAAAGATGAAGACGGTAGGTACAACTAGGCCGTGAACAACCAACCGTCGCACTGTAAAAATTGGATAGGTTCGATCTATGGTCATTGAGGCCGATTGCTAAAACTTTGAAGATCAAATCTTGAAGTTTTAAAGTTGACAAAAGATCTGAAAAAGTTGTTGTTTTGGACTTGAATCCAAAGGGGGAGATTGTTGGAACAAAAATGTTGTATTCAAGTCCCGGTGCTAAAACTGTTTTATATGCTTTGTAATAGTTTAGCTGTTGTTTACTGTGTTAGCAAGGTTGTCTTGACTTTCTGGTTTTAGAAGTTGCTATAAATAGCAGTATGGTAGTTTTGTTGGTTGCCTGTTAGAAAACAATCTTTGACAGAATACACGTACATTGAGAGAGATCATTGTATCAAGAACTTGTACTTCCTATTTGTGAATACAATCAAGCTGACAGATTCAATTCATCTTCTTATCATTCTTGTTCTTGATCTTTGATTGAATTGCTAATTAGACTTGAAATCTGTGATCACATAACACGTTTGAAAATAGTTTCACCATTGGTTAATATACCAAAGCCCTTGGTATATCTTTTTTCGTTTTCTCCAATGGTCACGGAAGGGCCTATTTCATCCTTGTAGTCATTTAGCAGAGATTTGTCTCTAGGCATTATGTCTTAAGCATCAACTATTGAGATACCAAATGTCTTTGACTTCTTAAGTAGGAGTAGATGGCGAGGGATCAGTGGATTTGAATACAACATTTTTGTTCAGGTCTAGATGATTCATCTTTAACATCCTTGTAGAAAAGGTATGGATTTATCCGTACTGTATTATACTCTAGAAAAGGTATGGATTTGTTCGTACTGTACTATACTCTAGAAAAGGAATGGATTTGTCCGTACTGTAAAGATAGGTCTAGATGGTTCATCTAAAGATGATAAATACCTGAAGATGAAGGAGAATTATAAGAAAATGAAGAACTTTCATCGTAAAGGCAAAGGTCTTGTCGCTGAAGAACATGATTGGGCTGATTCTTCTGAAGAATCATCCTCTGACGAGAAAAATACGACCTATCTTTGTCTTATGTCCAAGGATGTTAACAATGAACCATCAGAGAAGGTATGGATTTTTCCCTATTGTACTATATTCTAGAAAAGGTATGAATTTCTCCTTTGTGTGAGGGAGGACAAAACAAAAACAATCGTGCTTGGTAAGTTTCCTTTGATCGTTGAATACTGAAATGACGCTGAAAAGTATCTTCAATATTGTATGTAGTGAGGGTTTAGGGCTAGACAAGCACGTTCAGGTACAAGGGGGTATCTGAACAGGGTTGTGAGTTGAGGGAAAATGAAAATGAGAGGGGCTCGATGGGGGAGACTCTGATCATGCAATTTCTAAACACAATGCTTCCATCAATGAGTCAAGCTAAGAAGACATTGAATCTGATGATGATCAAGCTGATGAGTCAAATGCTGATGATGATGACTCTGACAATGATAATGATGCTGATGACCATAATCTGGATGATGCTGAGCCGATTTAGACAAATGTTGAAGAGCATCAACAAATAGACTTTAATTTTAAAGATTCTATTTCGGATTTTGATTAGGAAGCTGAAATTGATAACGTCATGGAGTCTTTAAGGATGAATGAGGGAGTATTCGTTGAAAATTCTGAGAGGTCGAGTGAAAGGGAAATATAAAACTATGGGGAGAGTGTCATAGGAACGCACAAAAATATAGTTCCTATCCTAACCTTTAGGAGAAGATGGGTAACTACATTTGTTGTTGACATTCATCTGTTGAATGTTGGCATTGAAGAATACATAGTCCACCCAACTATGCAATTACACCCCCTAGCCACTCTGATACCTCTCAACAGGTGTCAGTTTCACTTTCACATGGGGATTTAGCACAAAATCGATCTATTCCTCATTCAGAGGAATTGGATATGAAACAAGCAGACAACTGCCCCGTTCTACGACATTTTTGGATATCACATCGAGTCTTTAGCCTAATATTACAAACCATGTTTTTCTTAGATTTTTGCACAAATATGTTCATGCAAAGAAAGTTGAAAAGGAGTCATGGTACTGGTATCCTTCATAAGAATTTCATAATCCTTTTGTAAGATCTCAACTTCTTTCAATTCATATTTCCTCTTCTGAATAATTTGATGGTACTGGTACCCTCAGGGCCACCACAGGTTTTCCCCACTGTTAACTTCAGGCTCACGGTATTAGTCAAGGTGCGTACAAGCTGGTTTATAAAAAAAACATTAAATTTTTCTAAAGCAACTCTACATTTAAATACTTATACAAAAGGATCCCATGGTTTTTGGCCAACTGAGCCTCTCAAACCAATTGTTGTAGGTTCAAACATTCACTGCTAACAAAATGTGTATACCATCATTGTTTAGAAAAGAGCAAAAATGCATTAAAATGCAACAAAGTTTGATTTAGCTCCAATTTAGTGACAAAGAAGTTATTTTCTCAAACCACGTAACAAAGTCACAAAAACTCCTATTTGGTACTCATTTTGACCGGTAACATATTAATCTTGTAACATTTGATGATGTTGATACCCATTTGAGGATGCCCATCCCCACAAAGTTTCTTAACCAAACCCCCTCCCCAACCGTCTCAAAGCTAAGGAGCCTTGGTGCACCTCAGATTTTGCTTCATCTACACCCTTCACGTCACTAAACTTTGTATTAGATTCCATAGTTCAATTGTAGTGTTTGACAACACAACCACATCAACATATAAGTAGCACCAAACTAATAATACCTTTAGTGATTCCTCTATCCTCAATGAGTGCTCCAACACCAAAACTCAGTAGAAATTCCATGCCTAAAGCACGAACTGTGCTCCATAACTGCTCTTTGAAATGTGCCCCTTCAGTAGCCACCATATATAGGGGCAACCGCAATTCCTAACATGCATTCTTTTGTAGATTTCCCCACATTCTTGAGGGTTGAAAAACCACCAATCATCTCTTCATCATAAGTTGGTTTCCAGACCCTGTTTAGATTGGGTTTTACTTTATCTTATTCTGCAACAATCTGTAAATTATGTATTGATCCTCTTTAACTAATGAACAGATTTAAAAAATGAAAATTGTGTGTTTATATTCAACCCCTTCTACAAACTGTTAATACCTTTAAACTTTTGTAAAATCCGTCTGGGACCAATAATTTGTTATTTTTTTATTTGGCCCCTCTTTTATATAGGTCTGACAAAAAAAATTAAAATAAAGAAAACTTGTAAAGTTACAATTTTACCCTTATACTTAACGAAAATAGTGGACGAACGTTATGGTGAGAGACCAAATCCAAGACAAATTACATAGGTGTAGGGTTATTATGTAATAAATGAAAGATAAAAGACCAAGTTCGTAACAAATTACAAATCAAGTCCATAATTTACCATGCCTTTTAAATATTATAATTTACTATAACATATTCTATTACAATTTTAAAGGAAAATTAGAGAAATAAGTAAGGGGTCGTTTACCAAACATTTACCGGGTAAATATTTATAGTTAAAATTTAACACTATCATTTACTTACAACAATTTATCCGGTAAACGCTTACCGTGGTAAGAGTTGTCGTCCCTACTTACCGGGTAAGACTCTTGGTCCTTGTCTCGCTCTTACCTGGTAAGATTTTTGGCCCTTATCATATTCATCCAGTAAGATAATGTGACTTGATGTTCACTTACCCGAGTAAACATTTAGTAAACGGCCCCTAAAAGGGCAAAAATATCTCTAATATAACGATAATTTCACTAACGGTATCAGAATCAAACACTATTTTCGAAAGAAAAGCAAACTACAAGGATGAGTATTGTATTTATTGAAGTGTTAAGGATGTTGTTTGTAGTTTTATATAAACTATCGGACCAAAAACAAACTTCGGTTTGAACATTTCTTGCGGGCAGACGTTGATGTGACCAAGAGGATGCAGTTGACGTTTCTGTGAAAGAGGAATCGTCGTCTTCACATTGATTCTGGAATCTTGACTTTTGATACCACGGTGAGTAGAAAACTTCAAACGCGGTAATCCATATCTTCAACAAATCCATAGTTTCATTTCTGTGATTTATCCGTACTTCGATTCTGTGATTTATTCAATACTGTGAAACAAATTTTTTTTTTTGATTCAAGACAGTAATGGGCACGCCGGCAATCCCAAATCTAGGAAAACAGTGCTCCGTTAATGATTGTAAGCTCATAGATTTCCTTCCTTTCACCTGCGATTGTTGCAACAAGGTTCTATTCTAAAACCCTGCTTCAATTTTATGTTTTCCTTATAAATCTTGCTACAATGGTTGAAAATTGTGTCAAGAATTTGGGAGAATCGTGTTTTGATTACTGATGCTATGTTCATTTGGTGCTTGATGAATTGATCAGTTGTCTGTTGATATTCATAATTGCGACTGGATTGCGATCTCTGCGACCTTGATTGCTTATTGATTTTGTTGTTCTCAATCTAGGGTTTTAAAAAGTGTGAAGTTTTGATTGGGATTAATGTTTGTATCTGTTTACCACTTCTGTAAGGATTTAGAAAGGGGAAAAGGATTTATCCTATTTAAATGCTAAAGCCACATTTCATTGCAAGAATCAGGTCTAGAACCAACATGTTTTACTTTGAAGTTACTAGGGGAAAGAATCCATGAAGGTGGCATAGAAACAGCAATCAACAAGCTTGTATTTCATGATCTCCATCCACTCAAAAAGGGCAGATTCTTGACTTATTTACAGTTGAAGGCAATACTTTGCAACTTCGACATGAATATTTGTTACAAAGGACGGTGGCTGCACCGAGCTTGGGTTAAACTAGAAATAGGTAAACTTATAATTTGCACGCACGTTTGTAATCATTTCAAATATGAGAAGTAGCAAAGGCTATGTTTAGCAACCATAAGCAAACTCCTTGAAAGATCCCGTTTAGTTAGCCATAAGCTTACTTATAAGCTAGCATTTTGAAAAACTACTTCAAGTAGCAATTCAATAAGCTCCAGGGCCTTCGTTCCACTTCTTTTTTCAATCATGGATGCTTCTATTTTCCAATTAATTTTTCAATATATTCTTTTAGGTCATTTTATATTGTCATTTAACTTATCAACTAGTTTTTACCTAACATAACTAGTTTATTGGCTAACATCTAGAATATCAATTTGTTTACCAAACATAGCCAACGTGTACATTAATATTTAGGAACATTGGACTAGCGTGCATTTGTGTGTGAGATAAGTGAGATCAAAAGTGCGGAATCCAAGTAATGTTACCATTTGTTACTTAATGAAATCGCTTGCACTTGGTGGATGTTAGTAGAGCTAGTGTGTGGTGGTGAGCAGTGACTCCAATCGGTGCCAAGAATTTTTCATCTCAATTGGCACCACCACATATCAATTCCACCAAACTAAATGAACCCGATATATCCTATCCGAAGTGTGGTATGGGGAGACTAAGGGCCTGTTTGTTAGCGACTTAATGAGCTTAATGAAACTCATCGCTTATTCGGTCAGCTATACATGACTGTTTGGTAGTGGCTTAATGATATAGAAAGTGGCTTATTCAGTTAGCTTATAGGGGGAACTTTATGCAGAAAGCCAAGTTTTTTCAAGCCTGTCTGTCCCAATTAAAAAACACAGTTCTTCCAATTATGACAAAACTCTCCCAAAATAAAAACCTAACCAATCCGTACAGATAGATTAATCCACACAGACAACTTTATCCATTCAGGACTTAATGGATAACTAACCAAACATCCCCTAAGATGTAGGCAGACCCAAGTAGAGCGGCTGTTTTCATGAAGACTCCCTACTTATGAGAAGTGTGACAAAGAGAGAAAGTCTGATAAGATAATGTTTTCAAAAATTGGCTAAGGGGCCGTTTACCAGATGTTTACTGGGTAAGCGCTTACCGGCAAGAGTCACCACCCTCACCATATCGGTAACACCCTCAGCTATTAACATCGATTGTTGGTAAGCATCTTTTACCATGCAAGCGCTTACTGGGTAAGAGTGTTCTCCCTCACTTACCGGGTAAGGTTCTCGATCCTTGGATGCTAACCTGGTAAGGTAAGTGACACCCTGTAAGCGCTAACATACAAATAGAAGCAAATACAAGAAAATCATAACCAAAATATGGACCCCCTGTCCTCTTAATCTGATCTCTTTAAATTGTTTCTTCAGTTTATTGGACCAACTGGCGTTTGTTTATAAGAAATGCCAGTTAACGTTGTTATGCGATAATTATTTCACAAGAGTAGGTGGAAATCAAATGAGGATTTGTGGGCACTTCAGCTTCTGTCATGGATAGAACACTTATCATTATCATTTTGTTTGTCATGAATCTGATTTTTTTTGAAACATCATGCAGGTTTTCTGTCTGGAACACCGGAGTTACAGTACACATCAATGTCCCAAAGCCAACAAGAATGATCTCACAGTTGTTGTATGTCCACTCTGCGCAAAGGGGGTTCATTTAGTCCCTGATCAAGATCCAAACATCACCTGGGAGTCGCATGTTAATACAGATTGCGACCCATCAAACTACGAGAAAGTCACCAACAAAAAGAAATGCCCTGTTCGTGGGTGTAAACAGACCCTTACATTCTCAAATACAATCAAGTGCCGCGACTGCACCCTGGACCACTGCCTGAAACACAGATTTGGACCCGATCACAGTTGCCCTGGTCCTAAAAAATTCGAACCATCCTTCCCATTTTGGGGGTTTTCGAACGGCAAACCACAAAACCCCCCACCAAAACGAGCCACCAACCAGGTGCACCCAGGGTCATCATCCTCATCATCAAAATGGGCTACAAGTTTCCTGAAGGCAGCCTCATCTGTTAAGGCCTCAGCCGAAGCTGGAATGGCCAAATTAAGTAACGACATCGGGCAAGCATTTCAAGGCGGGAAGGATGGAGATGGTCCAAGCCGTGGGGGTGAAGTGGAGGTTTGCCCGATTTGTAAAATGAAGTTTTCCTTGGTTGCAGATTTGATTGATCATGTTCAGAAAGTTCATGAGAAGAAAGGGGTTATGAATGTGACATTAGATGTGTGCCCGAAGTGTAGTAAAGGGTTTCGTGATCCCGTTGCACTTGTGGAGCATGTCGAAAAAGAACATAGAGGTACGTTTAAAGCTTAGAAATTGTTATTTAGTTATTCAAACGGTTATGCAAAACCATTACTTTATATCATACTTTTCCCATTTCTCCCACATCATTATTTTGTGAAGGAAAGCTTGAGATGAATGAATGTTTTGGTTTTTTAGTTTTAGAAATGTCATCATTTAAAGGGTAAAGGTTGGGTTCACGTAAGACCAGTCTGTTTTCGTGGAACCCGACCACAAAATAACAATGAAAGTTCACAACAAAACATTCTAAAGGTAAAAAAAACTCCGATCCTTCGTAGCAAAAACATTGTGAAGGTTTACCTTCACATTATTTTGCTGTAAAGATTCAGTGTTATTTAGGTGGTCTCATGGTCTCATGATAACAATATGCTCTCACGTGATTCTAAGTCTATATATATCTATATATATATATCTATATATATATATCGTCTACAATTGATTTATGACATTACATGATAACATGATATGATGAAAAACAAAATAGTTATTGTTGGGGATCGGGGTCTAGGGTTCATGAGAAATCACAGCAATAGATTTGGATAAGAATCTTAGATTGTGTAGGAAATCACTTTTTTAAGTAATATTTTGACCCTTAAATGTATGGGTTGCATGACGTTGCTTAGCAATAAGAGGTTATAAAACCGTTCCATAGCAGTTTGGAATAGTTAGTGGGTGTACCCGCTAATCAACGTCAATGGGAAAACACTAATCAACAACATCATCCTTGTAGTTGATATACATTGACCCTAGTCAGTGTCACTGAAATAGTGCCAATAAAAATATTGATAAACTAGTTGTGTACTCATACAATATGACGGGATGTAATTTTTTCTTTTTGCAAATCAAGAATATAATAGTTTTTTAATGAACACGTAGAAAGTTATTGCCTTCAAAATTACTTTTGAAGAAAAAATAAAATTACATAATCGTTACAACTTTAATCATTTATCTCAGTCTCATTTTAGAACGTTATGATCATCATTTTGGATACACAACATACCAAGAGCCAAAGAGGTTTTACACATGTTCAGTTCTTGAAACTGTGCTTGACTCGGGTAGCCATCCGCATAGCTCACGAGCTTTGTCAATTTGATTTGCATTTGTACGGTTTGAGCTTTCATCAAGTAGGATTCTCCAAACATCGCAATTATTTAGATATCTTCTATTTAGAAATAGAATTGTATTGGTTAAATCATAAGTGGAATGTTATTACAAGTTTGATTCAAGTTGAATGCAAAATGAACTAAATATTATTGTTTTACGTGACACAATTATTGGGTGGTACAACCAACTTGGGCAAGTTTGCAGCTTAAGTAGAATCATACTTTGGCAAGCATGATCAAGAAAGGAATCCCAGTATGCCCAGCTCATTGACAACTATGTTGTTGCTCATATGCCTTGTATAGCCGGATGCCCATATCGTCACTTTCTCCTCAACAAACTTGGATAATCTACCAAAAATTTCACCAAATCCCAATTAAGCATAAAATTTTCAACTTGTATGTTTTGCATTGTTATCAGCTTTTCAAACTAATTATACGTGTCTGTGTATACGGATAGGTTAGATGATCAACAAACAAAAAGTTTCCTGAAATTCGTTGAACCGTAGGGTGAATTTTCTAAAGATCTACAATTTTATGAAATCTTCTAAAGATCTACTGTAGGGTAGAAGATGATAAATACTCGTTGGTATAATAAAAAGTATTTATGTCGATTACACATTGCCTTTGACATTTACAAGCACTGATAAATATCGAAGACCTCAATAGCACCTTGGAACAATCAAAACTTTAGGAGAATCTCCAATTGGAGTATATCCACAAAGTATAACACCACCAATATCAAATGCAATTGCAAATGAAGGTCTGTCACAATCAAATCAACTTCAATTATCATAAAAAGAAGTGGAAAAGTACATAAATTTAACGATAAAAAATGAATGCTTGTAACGAACCTTTTAGGTACTGAATGAAGCTGTGCTAGAAGATGATAACTGTGAAGTTGAACCGATGGAGATCTGTGTCGGTCCTGTACAACTCTACCTCCATTACCATCACATTAGAGCCTATGCTGTTAATTCGGTGCTATAGCGGTGAAGTAGTGGTGCTATAGCAGTTAGCGGTCTTGGGGGAGAGAGCGGTAAGAAATAGCAGTTCCGTTAATAGCGGTGCTAATCACCACAATTGGGCTGCAATTTTGATTTGCAATACTAGTGTGAAGCAATTAGGAGTTGGGTTTTAAGTTGGCCTTTTAAAGGGTTTAAAGAAGTCTATTAAGGGATTACGAGCTAGGATGGTTTTCATTTGCAATATTGGTGTGTAAACTTGCTATTCCTCTCTCATCTCTTCTATTCCGGTATATATTTTGCTCCTCCTTTATTCACATGTTCTTTATGTTCATCTTCAAAATATATATTATGTTATGCATTTATTCATACATTTATATATAATTGTAATAGTTACATGAACCCGCTATATGTTGATTGTTATATCACCGCTTTACCATCGCGATAACCGTTATATCAAATTTCGGTCCTAACCGATATTTCAAATTTTGATCGTTGTAACGGCATACATTAGAGCATCCAACCACACCCTCCTCCAAAATCCAACTAACCACTTGATTGAACTACAAAAAATAAGACTATATGAATAATTCTAAAGTTAAATCATGGATGGTATACCAACCACAAGATTTTCCATCTAAACTTTATGTCACCCTTTATTTTAGAAGAGGCATTAATTATTATCAGACTTCGCCATATTTAACCCAAATATCAGACTCTAGCATGTAAGGTTAATTTATGGTAGAGATGGCTTTTTGGCAATTGCTGAATGGTTTGGTGCAGAATGATTAAGTGGTCAGAATGATTAAGAGGCTCTCATGATATAGTGCAAAATGAAATATAATTGTTTGGTAATTGTGTACAATGAAATTAGGGCTCTTAATGGTTAAGGGAGATCCAAGATACAAAATCATTCAGAGGATTTTAAAACCATTAAGAGATGGACTTTTTTTGTTTGCCAAACAAGATTTACCTCATAACGATTCAGAGATTGCCTCTTAATGGAACTATTAAGAGGTAAACAAACAACCCCTAACGGGCCATTTAACAAACTTACTTAGTAAGCGCTTACTAAGTCACATTACCTTACCGAATGAACATGACAAGGATCGAGAATCTTATCCAATAAGTGAGGATGACGAATCTTACCTGGTTAGCGCTTACCAGGGGTAAATTGTTGCATAACATGCCATTTTGATGGACTAAAATCTTACTCAATAACGTAAATGATAGTGTTGAATCTTACCGGTAAGCGTTTACCGAGCAAGTGTTTGGGTAAAAAAACCCTAATATGTACACGATCGAAGTGTGGATTCATTGATTGGATGGATCCACCACAGTGTACACGATGTATGGATGTTATTCCAGGTTTATTGAGGTCGAAGAATCAACTTGAAGCATCCAACAAAGAACTTGAAGCCTCCATTAAAGGCAATAAGAAACAAGTTCTAATATTGAAGATAATGTTGTGTCTCAGTCGGATGTACTTTCTATTTTTATTTTAGATTAGTTCGTTTTTTGTATCTTAGGGGCCGTTTACCAAATACTTACGTGGGTAAGCGCTTACCAAGTTATATTACCTTACTGGATAAATATGATAGAGACCAAAAATCTTACCCGGTAAGAACGAGGCAAGGACCGATAGTCTTACCCGGTAAGTGAAGACAATGATTCTTACCATAGTCAGCTCTTACCGGTTAAATTGTTGCATAAAAAGCCATTTTGTTGACTAAAATCTTACCCGGTAAGTAAATAATAGTATTGAATTTTCCTGGTAGGTGCTTACTGGGTAAATGTTTGGTAAACGGCCCCTTAGTTGTATACCAAATGAAAATGTGATGATCTGTTATGGCAATGGATTGTATCTTAGTTGTGTTTGATGGCAATGTAATGATCTTCTTATGGCAATTTGTGTTTGTTCTTGTGGTTTCAAATGTAGTACCAAATGACAAAGAACAGGTTATAAATGCAATACCAAATGACCAAAAACAGGGTTTAAATGACCACAACTAACACCAAATGCAAACCATATGCAGTACCAAATGACCAAACAGTAAGCAACACCAAATGCAAACCAAAACAATGATGCAATACCACAGTACATTAAGAGTGATGCATTACCTAATTACCAAAACAAGCATGCCTTAATACCATAACTGATTAAAAGTTGACAAGCAGAACCTGTTCATAGACTGATAAATATGCAACAATTACACTATGCTGTTAATTGCGGCATAATATCAGATATCGGACCTATGCAAATATCGGTGGTCAAATAGCGGTGCGGCTAATATCGGCTCAATTTACCGCAATTTGACCGATATTTAGGGTCAAATTACGGTCCGCTATAGCGCTATTAGTTTGGGTTTTTTTTTGAGTCTTTGACTTGGGCAGTTGGGTTTTTTATATTTTGATTTGGGCTATGTTTTAATTTTAATCCGTTAACATAACAGTATAACAATTAATAATAACTTTCTTTCTATAATCAACCCAAGTTGGAACTTGGAAGGAAGTCGTTAATGAACACTTTCCTATTTTGTTTTGTTAAACTTGTTTAAGTTGATGTTAAAACTATATTATTAATTAATGCATATGATATATTTATGTATTCATACATACATACAGACATATTATATATATATATATATATATTTCTAAGAAATATTATATGAACCGCTGGTTTTGGACCGCTATAACCGCAATTTCAAATATTGGTCCGGACCGCTATTTTGTATTTTGACCTTTATAACAGCATAGTTATTACAACTTGTTCATTAAAGATGACAAAAACCATAATGTTAACAGCCTAACAAGTATATAGGTTGCAAAAGACAATCATTACATTCAGAAGTCAACAACTGACATTCATAAACCTGAATCAACAGACTCCTTGACCCTTGAATGATCTTGAATTGTGACCTTTCTTATGGCATTTGGTACAAGTAACTGTCTTCCAACCCTCTTGAGCTTTTATTCTGTTCCCTTGACTGCATCATCAACAACTATGTCATCATCTAACCCATTTAGTGACATATTCCAAATGGTTGCAACAACATGCTTACATGGGATGCC